TGTGAATATTCAGGAACTGGCTCTTCCATGTAACCCTTCTGTGGGAGGATGTCTCCACTCCAACCACCCTCTTTGCTATCCATATAATGGTTTCTGTGGGATCTTTTGATACCTGATACCGGCGACATCTCACGATCACATAGGCTGATATGCTTCTTCCATGTGGGCTTATTTGCTTCCCTGCTAGATGGCTGCTTGTTTAACTTCAAACCTTTTCAAGACCCCAGACGCTATATCTTTTGGTAACCAGGCACCATCCGCTTTCGTCACCACTTTTGCTTAAGCACCCATTTTGTCTTCAGCGATCATCTCAGGAAGGAGAGTATCAAAGAGTGTCTGGGGAAGTTTTATGTCCTATTTCTTAGGACATAAAAAGCATGGACTATAATACATTTGTTTTGAAGATTTGGACTTGAAACTACTGCTTTTCAAAAGACACGGGAGAAAAGGGTGTTGGGGTGGGCTGGGGAAGCTGCAATGTGTAGAAAATATTCCCAGTAGGTACACTTGAAGAACTTGTGAATAGAAAGCATATAGAAAGACAAACAGCCCAATCTGAAAATGTGCAAATGATTTTGAAAAGATGCTTCATGGAAGAAGAAAAGTGAATGGCCAATAAGCCCAAGAAAGAACGCTCAAAGTATTAGTCATCAGAGAAATGTAAATGAAAACCACAGTGAAATCACACTTATCCCTATTGAAACGTTAACATTTAGAAGATTGACAATATTGTGTATCACAGAGCATGTGGAGCCAACTGGAACTTTTGTATGGTCCTGACCCAGAATCCAAACTCACGGCCATTAACTCAGTGCTGACTCGTAGCGACCCCTGTGGGTTTCCAAGACTGTAACTGTTTACAAGAGTAGAAAGCCCAGCCTTTCCCCCATAGAGCTGCTGGTGGTTTTGAACTGCCAACCATGCAGATCACAGCCCAACGCATAACTACTATACCACCAGGGCTCCTGGTGTATTGCTGATAGGAATCTGCAATAATTTAACCTCTTTGGAAAATGTGTTTCAGTTTTCTACACAATAAAATATACGCATCTTTTGAGATACACCAGTGTCACTCCTAAGTATTTACCCAACAGAGAAGAAACTATTTTCACACAAAGACTTGTACAGGATGTTCATTAACACATTTATTCCTGAAAGCCCCAAGCTGGAAACAACCTAAACATCTGTCAACATCAGTGTGGTACAGTGATACAGTAAAACACTGTGTGTGCTTACAGGGTGAAACCCGTGAGACCCGAACTCCATGGGCCTGCCTTGTTCGCCCGTCTCGCGAGCTTCCTGCCTTTGATAGGGTCCAGTCTGGCCACTTTGCTGTCACTCCTTTGAGTATAAACTGAGTTTTCCTTCTGTAGCAGGTTTTAGCCTTACACAGGTTCTGACTTTATCGGGTTTTACTATAATCCTTAGATAAATAATCTTGTTACACATTGCTTCCAGTCTGAACTTCCATCTGAACTTCAGTTTCTTCATCTGTTGTACAATGGAGAGGATAATGTCTGCCTTAGAGGGTTTCAAAGAGCCTCAGTGGCTCTGTCAGGTAAGCATTGCACTGCTAGCCGTA